TTACATTAAGGAAATCCTATTGGCTGAATTTACGTTTTAATGACATTTCAAGACATTCTAAATGAGTTGATACCAAAAATTAAAGTATGTAAGCATAAATAAGCATTTTAGTCGCTGTTTTCTCCACTGCAATAATTTCTAAAATCAAAAAGTCATTTTTATGAAACTCATTAACTCGTATAAAGTAGTTCTGCAAGACGATCAGCCGAGCCGTTTCTTTAGAATTACGAAAACAATACAAAATAATCCGTCAGAAATTCTGGATCGATTTTAAAAATATCATTTGCAATTTGAATTGATTAGTTCTTGTTAAAGATCGACCGATCTTAACTGATGGACCGATTTTGTCGCATAATAGACCAATGTTATGGCAAGGCTATGTCATGAAGAACTTGGCATACTAATTCGTTCTAATTATTGACAAAATCCATGTAGTTGCTGTTCAGTCAAGCGTTTTTCTCGGGTTGTCAGATAGAAATCCTAACCTAGAAACCGCACAAATGTCAAAAATACGATCTTAGATATCAGGGTCTTTCTGACCCAGCTTCATAACATTCAAGTGACGTTGCAGTTAATGTGTAAAACGCCTGAATGCATAGCAAATACATAACATTTATACAGTATTCAGTATAATTTAGTACTATAATGTATGTAAGTTGGAGTGTATCATTGCCTTGCCATAACATTGGTCTGTTGTGCGGTAGAATCGGCCCATGAATCTTAAAATTTATGTTGAAGATCTTCGAAGGAACCTCGTTTTAATGGACATGTTAAAATATCATAAGCCTACGGAAGCAGGTTGATGATAAAAATTCATCAACGCTTGGAATAATAAACCGTGTTAAAATTTCTATCGTCACATATGGACACAATAAGCAATGAAATGCGGACACATTCAGACAAATACAAAAGTTGTCTGGTGGATCATCCAAATCTACTTGCTAGAGAACTATGCCACAGCACTTCCATGGAAAGAATTTAAAAGAAATTCATGTTACATTGATTATGTCAATGTTTAAAATCTGTGACAATGGTCAGAAGATTTTGTTTTTATTTTTCTGCAGTTTCACTTTTTGTCAATTTCAGGAGAGGTGTAAAAATCATTACATTTTAACAAAACATCGTCACACTATTAAAAACATCATACAAATTATATAGTCATTCAGCTTCTTCAGACACCAACTTCAAGAAGACTGAAGAAGAAGCTGCCCAAGGATAATATGGAGAAACCTTAAAACTACATCAACCTTATATGAACTATATGTGTGTTTGAAAGTGTGTGTGTATGTGTGCAAGTGAAAGACATAAGCCAAATAGCTCATAGAATTGTCATGTATTCTGATTGTAATTGAAAATAAAATTAAAAAAAAAACATTTTTTAAAGTTGCTTGTTAAATTCTTATTGATCAAGTCAGTTTTTACAGAGTTTTTGTATTTTGATTTTAGGCAATATTTGCTTGAAGCAAGATTGTAATTTAGCTCTACATAATGCAATAAACCTCTCATGACCTTACTCTACTAACATTCAATTCCTTTACGACTGGCGTATTACTGTGTGCGAATATTCTAGAATTAGTAAATGCATGAAAGCAAGAAATATTTCCGGGTGTCTTTGTGCCAACTTTTCTCATTTATATTTATTATGATGTATACAAGTAGTACGTAATGCAGAAATCCTCACATGTGTAGGAATATCATCCGGAGGAGACGGATGTTGGGAGTAGGCGAGTAGCGAGTAGGCGGTAAGCACGCTATGTACAACGATACAGGAAACGTGCCAGCGGTTATGATGCCAGGCACATCATTTATTAACCTCCACAAACTTGAACTCACCACGTAAGTCGATATATTAGGGACAAATAGAAACAGTGGCCGGATTTGTAATTATGCTTATAATTACCCTATATCTCTCAAAATAATATCTCAAGTTCGATTATCGTAATATTTAAA